ATGGCTATTATTAAAAAGTCAAAGAACAACAGACATTAGTGTGATGTGGACAAAAGGGAACACTCATACACTATTAGCGGGATTATAAACTGATTCAACTTTCTATGGAAAATGGTATGGAGATTTCTCAAAGAACTAAAAGAACTACCACTGGACTCAGCAATCCCATTATTATCTACCCAAGGGAAAATAAATAATTATATAAAACAGATACCTGTATTTGTATGTTCTTTGTAACACTATTCACAATAGAAAAATCATGTAAACAACCTAAGTGTTCATCAATAGTTGGATAAAAGAACATATTTGTGGTACCATGGAATAATATGCATCATTCTAAGTGAACTAACTCAGAAACAGAAAACCAAACACCACATGTTCTAATTTATATGTGGCTAAATAGCCACAAAGATGGAAATAATAGACACTCAGGACACCAAAAGGGAGCAGGCAGGGCGGGAGGAGGTTAGGATTCAGAAGCTATTTGCTTATTATGGTTAGCATCTTAGACTGGGGTGGGACCTTTAGAATGACCTGATTTTAAGTCCATCAAATTGCAGAAATCTTCCAAAACATTGATGTAGGTGATTATCCAGCTTCTGCTTTAAAATCTTTCATGATTAAACAAAAATTTCCCATAATAAGGAATCTCTTCCTTCAAAATACAACTGCTTCTTATAGAAATAAACCACTAAACTTGGTGCCTGACACATGCCTGTAGTCCGAACTACTTGGGAGGCTGAGGCAGGAGGATTCCTTGAGCCTGGGAGTTTAAGGCAACAGTGCACTATGATCTTGCAATAGACACTGAGCTCCGGTCTGAGCAGCGTAGCAAGACTCTGTCTCTAAATTAAGAAGAAGAAGGAGGAGGAGGAAGAGGAGGAGAGGAAGAAAAAAATGAACCACCAGAAATATAAAGTGGGGGATGACTTATTTTCTCTATAGGAGATTAGTCAAATTGATTGTTCTGAAATGAAAATAACTTTTTTTTGAAAGCAGAATTTGTTAAGAGGACAGAAAAGCTCCCACAGTGGGAGGGGACCTAAATATAAACTTTTTTTTTTTTTTTTTTAGTTGGAGTCTCACTCTGTCGCTCAGACTGGAGTGCAGTGGCCGCTCACGGCCACTGCAGCCTCGACCTGCTGGATTCCAGCGATCCTTGCACCTCAGCCTTCCAAGTAGCTGGAACTACAGGCGTGCGCTACCACACCCCGCTAATTTTTTTGATTTATTGTCGAGATGAGGTCTCGCCAAGTTGCCCAGGCGGGTCTCAAACCCGTGGGCTCAGGCAATCCACTCACCTCTGCCTCCCAAGGCGCGGGATTATAGGCTGAGTCACCGAGCCCGGCGATAACATTTTTTTTTTAAAGTTTGGGGTCTCACTGTGTTGTCCAGGCTGGAGTGCAGTGGCATGATCATGCCTCACTGCAGCCTTGACCTCCTGGGCTTATGTGATCCTTTGGCCTTTAGCCTCTAGAGCAGCTGGAACTATAAGTGTGCAACACCATGCCCAGCTAATTTTTTTTTTTTTTTAATTTTTGGTAGAGTTGAGATCTTGCTATATTGCCTAGGCTGGTCTTGAACTCCTGGGCTCAATCAGTCCTCCCGCTTCAGCTTCCTAAACTGCTAAGATTACATGCATGAGCCATTGTGTGCATCCAGGACTAGGTTTTGATGTTTGGATTAGGTAGACATGTCACAAATATAAAGAGAAAAATCAATTTGGGGTCTCTCTGAACTGTTTCATCTTTAGTAAATTGGAAAAAAAATGAAGTGAATGTATAAATTAGATCCTGTGATAGATTTAGATTCATCATCTGAAAAGTTCTTAACTCCCCTTTTCCTAACCACAGGATAATTATTACAGTTCATGACAAATGGATGCTCTGGTTGACTCATGTTTTATTTTGCTGTAAAACAATGTATTTTCATTAGTCTTCTAATACCTTCTCCTTTTTTTTATTGTCCTGTAGTAAATGTAGTACTCTTTATCATTTCATCCATCATGTTGTATTACATAACATGTTTTTCTTTCTTTCTTTTTTATTTTTTGAGTTGGAGTCTCACTCTGTTGCCCAGACTGGAGTGCAGTGGCCGCTCCCGGCCACCGCAGCCTCGACCTGCTGGGCTCCAGCGATCCTTCCGCCTCAGCCTTCCAAGTAGCCAGAATTATAGGCATGCGCTACCACGCCTGGCTGATTTTTTGATTTATTGTAGAGATGAGGTCTCGCCTGCCCAGGCAGGTCTCAAACCCGCGGGCTCAGGCAATTCACTCACCTCAGCCTCCCAAAGGCGCGGGATTACAGGCTGAGCCACCGAGCCCGGCTACATAACATGTTTTTCAACACCACTGTTCTCTGAGTTTCTTAAGGACAAGTACTATGTCTTATTTATCTTTGTTTCATCAGTGTCTGATGGAGAGACTGGAACATATTAGGACTCAATAAATTAATTAAATAAATAGTTTACATCTGTAGTTAAGACTGCCAATTAGTCCATAAGTAGCCAATTGTTTGTCTAAATGTTCATGGATAATTCTCCTTTCAATAGTTCTGTTCACTATTTTAAACTCAGGAGTATTCAGTGTTACTATCAAATATTCACTTTGCTTGCCATACTTTTTAAAGTTAATTAGTATGTACTCTTTAAAAGAAATTGATTAGTGTGTGTACCAAACAGGATTTTCCCTGGTACTAATAATTCTTTCTACCACTGAATTAAGGGTGCTGGAAAGCTTCTTTTAAAGTTTCCAGAATGATTTTTTTAAGGACTGAAAGCATTTATAAATCACCACTCCTCCATAAATATTCAAAATTAAAAGTTACTTAAGAGTTAGGAAAATGGAACCCACCAGGACATTAAAGAGAGAGAGAGAGAGAGAAAAGCTTTTAAAATAGGTGATCTGTTTTTCAAATGTCTTTTCATAAAATATGCGTATTTTTCTAAATAACTTTTTATTGTTTTCAATAAACAATTGAATTTGCTCTGTTTTCTGCTAAATAAATACCTTCTTTTATATAGTTTTCAATATACAGGAATAAACACAAATATGTTGATGATTATTTGAGGACACACACACATAGAAATATACAAACACACCCATGCACAGAGACACACTGTTCTTGAGGTGCCCTCTAAATGATCAGTTTAATGCTGTCCTTACAGGGTGCAGTGAAGGAGTGTCAAGCTGAATGCTTGCCCCAGTTGTAGAGCTTGATTACCAGGCAGCAGAAGGTGCCAGACCTTTAGAGTTTAGTTGGCAGTTCTCTCTTTGCAGAACCAATTAAATAAATTGTTTGGGATTGTTCTTTAGAAATCATAACTTCCATAAATAATTAGGCAGGGAAACTATTTTAAGGGAGTTTATTTGAAACAAATGTAGCAAAGATTTATTTGTACATTTCACCCAGAGTTGGTTACATTTTCGACTTTTTCCCTAAAAGGAAATACTTTTAATGCAAGTATGTTCACAACTTTACATCAGGAAATACAAGAAGTTTTCAGCACAATGCATAGAGTGGTTTTGATATCCAAGTGTAGGGAGTTAGCTTTTAGATGGAGAAAGTCCTAACACACAGAGGATCATGAATAAGCAAGCTTTAGGAGCAGTAGGAGCTCATAACAACTCAGTAATATTCATGATTCAGACTTTATAGATTGTTGTGCCATTAAATTTTAATGGATTTTATTTAACTATATTCTCTGAAGGGGTGTGTATAGGAGAGAGAGAAGAGAGGAAGAGAAAAAGATTTCCATCTCCATTTCTCAATAGTTTTATTGACTTTAGGCTATTTAAACTTTCTCTTTGCAAATCAACTCTTCCTTTCTTTTTCTGAATTTCAGTTCATTCATTACTTATATTTATCTATTAAGGATCCTTTTACCCTCAAAAATAACTGCTAGTAGCAGAAAGTTGGTAGTGGAAATTCTTCATGATGATCAAATCTTCAGTTCTTAAAATTATCTAGTTGCTAAAAAGCTACTATGTAGTTGTAAGATACCCGAGAAGTTTGTGCCAGTGCATATCTCAGATTTCTATGGTGTAGATAGAGTATTTCTGTTATGTAGATGAAGAATATTTTTAATAAAAGTCATCATGGAAATAATTTATAATTCTTTTGGTCTCAGTTGAGGAGTGAGCTTTGAACTTAAATACATACAGTTTATCAGTTAGTTCCTATGGGAGAGTTTTCTTACAGGATAATGAAGATTAGGCTATAAGACTGTAAAATGGTTTTCACATTTTAAATTTTAGGACTCCACCTATAAAATATTGAGTAACCAGAAGTTTTTGTTTTTGTTTTTTTTTGAGTTGGAGTCTCACTCTGTCGCCCACACTGGAGTGCAGTGGCCGCTCCCGGCCACCGCAGCCTCGACCTGCTGGGCTCCGGTGATCCTTCTGCCTCAGCCTTCCAAGTAGCTGGAACTACAGGCGCGCACTACCACGCCCGGCTAATTTTTTAAAATTTATTGTAGAGATGAGGTCTCGCCTGCCAAGGCGGGTCAGAAGTTTTAAATAAACATCTTTTTCTTGCCTCACATTGTTCTTTCCGTCTTGAATGTTATTTTACCACTTCTTCCTTCACAAGTTTTTACACTTTGCTCATTTATCAGCTTCAATAAGATTTTTTTCAGAGAAGACCCCCGTGACCCCTCAGATTTGTCCAGGTTCCTCTAGCATGCACTCTCAAAGTGCCTGTTTTTCTCACTACCCGTACTTATCACAACCGAAATAAAATTGCTAACTCTGTAATTAGTGTAATGTGCTGCTTGTTTACACAGCCACAGTACTGTGCAAGATTCATTTTTTTCTCTATCGAGAAAATAGAAAGCCTGTAGTTATAAAGAAAGATTAAATAGTAATTGTCAATCCACAGTTAGGCAATAGGATGTTAAAATAGGACATTTCCAATTTCTTTTTTCAGCTGAAAAGTAAAGCTCTGGGATTTCAGACAGGCATAACTGCATACAGATTTTGCAACAGAGATGCATTTATTGCACTAGATTCCAGTTTGTTGGGTAATCCAGTTACGGTAGGCTGTCACTCGAGTGTATACTCCTGGCTTAACTGGAAGGCCACACTGGTCTCCCCAGCTCACTATCCCCACAAGGTACCAAATCCGCCGTGAGTCTTCCTGTACCAGAGGGCCACCAGAGTCACCCTGAGGGAAACAAGATGATTGGTTACGTTAGTGCAAAGCCAAACCCATAATATTAAGGAGTTTATGTCTATGGCAGTCAGTCACAGAAGAAGTCACTTCCATTAAATCAATAAAGTCAGTCTACTTCCTTGCAAAATATTATAGCAAGTCATGGAAAAATTATTGAAATGCAAGTTGTTCCTTCAGCAAGTCTGAGAAGAAGATGAGAAGCACATTTTCCAAATTTCCCTCAGTCACTGCCTAGTTGCCTCCTACTCATTCAGGCTTTGCTTCCTTCAGGAAACCTCTGACCTCCTGCTTTCTGCCTCACTTTCACCCCTTCCAGCTTTGTGCTTGATTAGTTCTTCATTGTGTCCCCATCATTGTGCCCCACACCCTGTGTGTGTCCCTGTCACTGTTTCTTTATTATTTTATAAAAGCACATCTGTGTGCTTATTTGAGCATACTCCCACTGGTCAGCTCTTTTGGAAGCAGCCACTCCCTGTCTCTGCAACACCGAATTTATTTATGTCTCTTGTTGAGTATGTTTTTCCAGCTCTCCTGTAAGGTCCAAAAAGAGAGGGGGTATAAGCCGGGCTCGGTGGCTCAGCCTGTAATCCCACGCCTTTGGGAGGCTGAGGTGAGTGGATTGCCTGAGCCCGCGGGTTCGAGATCTGCCTGGGCAGGCGAGACCTCATCTCTGCAATAAATCAAAAAGTTAGCTGGGCGTGGTAGCGCACGCCTATAATATAATTCCGGCTACTTGGAAGGCTGAGGCGGAAGGATTGCCGGAGCCCAGCAGGTCGAGGCTGCGGTGGCCGGGAGTGGCCACTGCACTCCAGTCTGGGCGACAGAGTGAGACTCCAGCTTAAAACAAAAACAAAAACAAAAAAACCCCCAAAAAACCCCCCAAAAAGAAAGGGAGTATACTTATTCTGGATGCTGCTACACCATAAGCTTCTAGCCCACAGGAGATATTTGTTTAATGAATGAATTTCTAGAAGTCTCTCTTATCTTCCTGTGCTTAGCACCCTGCATGATGTCTGATACATAGTATATCATCCAAAAGTATTCTTTTGGTGAATACATTTATATGGCATTAAGCAAAACACTCTTTATGAGATTCCACCCAATCATAATAAGAACCAATCAATCAAAAAATGTTTATGAATATAAATAATAGGCTGAGTGCCGTGGCTCACGCCTGTAATCCCAACATTTTAGGAGGCAGAGGTGAGAGGATTGCCTGAGCTCACGGGTTCGAGATCAGCCTGGGCAACATGGTGAGACCTCATCTCTACAATAAATAATAATAAAAATAAATTAGCTGGGTTTGGTGGTGTGTACCTGTAATTCCAGCTACTTGGAAGGCTGAGGCAGAAAGATCCCCTGAACCCAGCTGGTCGAGGCTGTGGTGGCCATGAGCGTGCCACTGCACTCCAGCCTGGGTGACAGAGTGAGACGCTGACTCAAAAAATAAAAAATAAAATAAATTTGGGGAGACAAATTTAGTGTGTCTTACATACTGCATAATGCAGTCTGTGAGTTCCAAAACTAGATAGTTAGGGTTTGAATCTTCCACTTACCAACTCCGAGACCTTTTGTAAGATGACTAATAGCTTGCTGCACCTGTTTTCTCATGTGTAAATCATGTTTTTATGGGTTTAACACATAAAGCCTGGTGTATCGTCCGTACTAATTAAAGTCAGCTACTATTATCAAGTGTGCTTCTATAATAGTTAGCTATTTTTTGACTGCTCTTGGTAGCTAGCTCTTCCATACCTGTTGAATGACAGTTCTAGATGGGGAGAAGAGTCAGTGTGTGAGTCACCAATTTGCATGCCAAGTAGTGCATGGAGCTGGCCCGCACCTCCCTCTTTTAGATGACTCTTGCAAACTTCAGTTAGCCAGTTCTCAAAACTTCCTTATGATTGTGTTTTTGCTGAGATTTTTTTTTAATAATGAGAAATTATTTTGCATGTTGTCTTTTCAAGAGTAGGCAAGAAAATGTTAAACCAAGAGGGACACATAATTTTTCCTTATCTTTCTGTATCTGATCAGTTTCACTGCCTGACTGCAGACATTTGAACTTCTGTCCTCTCTTCTAGACAATAGACTTGCTGAGTGCAGGGAATGTATTGTTGTGCTAACATAGTGTCTGGTACACAGAAAATAATAAAATTTCTTTGAGTGAACGAATGTATTAATAAACAAAAGTATAAACAGAAATAAATAGGATGTCACAAGCTCTTGGGTAAAGTGCTATTTTGTTTGTTTGTTTTTTGAGGCACAAACTATGCCTCACAGTATTTCAGCTGAAAATCAGTAAGGCCTAAAGTGGAACAAACAGGGAAGATATCATGATGAGTTATGGATTGTCCTGAGCTAGAAGGAAGAGGAGAATTTGTTTATGTAGAAGGCAAGGGAAATTGTAAAAGAACAAAGCAAGATTAACACTTTTAACTCTCATGTATAACTTTAAGTTCTATTAATGCTCTTAGTAGGTCTGGAATTGTTATTGTGGGGGTGTGTTGTTTATTGATTGGTGAATTTTTTGGAAAACAATTATGAAAACAGAGAATCTGTTGTGACAGGAATAGCAGTAAAAGAGAAATAAGAAGAGGAGCAATAAACCTTCACAGAGACATCTCCATTGAAAGGAAATGAAGGATCACATAATTAACAGTATTTTGAAAATTGAAAAAAAAGTCACCTACACACTTCTTGCAGTTGATAAAAAAGTTTCATTTTGGGAAGAGTGCTCAAAAATTGAGGTCTTTGCATAAGTATTACTCTTGTCCAAGTTTTAGAGACTGTAAGTGCTAAATATGAAAGTCAATAACATTTGATGCAAAATCATAAGCCTTGTCTTTATGTATACAATTTTCCCAGGAAAACAGCAGCAGATTTTTCAAGAAAACAGATTTTTAAAAATGCCAGGCTAAAAAATCTTTAATTTCTAACTCTAAGTAACTATTTCTGTTAGTATATGGGTTTGGATTTAAGACATATGAATTAAACCTATTAAAAGATATAACTACATCAATTAAGTTTTTTTTTTTTGAGTTGGAGTCTCATTCTGTCGCCCAGACTGGAGTGCAGTGGCTGCTCCCGGCCACCGCAGCCTCGACCTGCTGGATTCCGGAGATCCTTCCGCCTCAGCCTTCCAAGTAGCCGGAATTACAGGCATGCACTACCACGCCTGGCTGATTTTTTGATTTACTGTAGAGATGAGGTCTTGCTGCCCAGGCGGGTCTCGAGCCCACAGGCTCAGGCAGTCCACTCACCTCAGCCTCCCAAAGGCACGGGATTACAGGCTGAGCCACAAAGCCCGGCTATATCAATTAAGTTTAGATATCTTAATTTAAAATTTTGGCATTAAAATTTTAATCTAACAACTTTAAGTTTTGAATTTCATATTTATTGGTTGTTTTTGTATATTTGGCTAAAAATTAGGAGCTAGATTCAAATATTTACTTTTCTTTTTTATTTGTATTGTTTCATTATTGTGAAAGGTATTGTGACTTTTTGTATAAACTTTTTATCTTCAAGGTGTTCCAAATATTATTTGCATCATCAAATTCAATTATAGTCTATGACTTAAGTGAGTGATTGAGCTTTTAAAACTTAGCACTGTATAGAAGTTGAGATTAAAGTTATTACACAACTGAGCATGGTTTACATTAATATTAATAGTAAAACAGATTTTATTATTACTATAATATTAATAGTAAAACAGGATGTCTTTGTTTAGCATATGCCTGATATATTTACTTTTCATTTAATTTTTAGTAGCACTTTAAAAGTTAGATAATACTATTATTATCCCCAGTTTGTAGATAAAGAGACTTGATTATAGAGCTTAAGAAATTTAAACCTAGGTCTTTCTGATTCTTGAGTTTTGAGTGGTTAACTACTCTGCAATGTTAACTACTTTAACATTGTGAAAGATAAGATTATAAGAATTTTATTTCTCAAATCTAGATCATAAATTTTTATAGGATCAAGGCTGGGTATTTTTAACTGCCACCTTTATGCCTATCACAGTATCACATGCTAGTAAGTGCGTGTAAACTTCTTGGATAACAACACGAATGAGATTGTCTTGAGCTTACCTGGCATGCATCCACTCTGCCTTGAGGTAGTCCAGCACACAGCATTCCAGGCAAGACGGCTCCATTATAACTAATTGGGGCATTACATTCATTATTACTTATTATTCTGACCTGCGCTTGCCTTAGATCTGGAACTGTGCTGCCTGTTTAGTATAAAAGTAGAAGGAAAAGGACTTCAGGATACATACATGATGAATTTGAGAAGAAATAGTTGTACTCTGATTCATTAATAAAAGATTCTAAAGATATACTTGAGTTTCTTCCCAAGAAAAATTCCCATAATAAAGATAACCCCTTTACAAATTTTTTTTTTCTTTAGTGTCCCTTGAACCTTTAGGGACAATCAATACATTTTCTTTTTTTTTTTTTTTTTTTTGAGTTGGAGTCTCACTCTGTCGCCCAGACTGGAGTGCAGTGGCCGCTCCCGGCCACCGCAGCCTCGACCTGCTGGGCTCCGGCGATCCTTCCGCCTCAGCCTTCCAAGTAGCCGGAATTACAGGCATGCGCTACCATGCCCGGCTGATTTTTTTTGATTTATTGTAGAGATGAGGTCTCGCTGCCCAGGCGGGTCTCGAACCCACGGGCTCAGGCAATCCACTCACCTCAGCCTCCCAAAGGCGTGGGATTACAGGCTGAGCCACCGAGCCCGGCACTTTTTCTATTTTAAAATGGACTGATAGCATTTAAACTATCCACTGATGGATTTCGGATTGGAAAATTACATATTGAATAACTTTTAATTCAGCATCAAAAGAAAAACCAGTCTGGTTTCAAGGCTAAAGAGCAAATCTATTTTATATTGATGCAGGCTCAGAATGACACTGCCCTAGTTTTTCATGACTGGCACAAATTTTTATCTATGACACCAAATTACTTTGGGCCACAAGAACACAATGAGACACTTTCTAGGACAATTAAGGCTTTATATGATTCCTTGAAAACACAGTCTACAACATGTTTAAAAATCCATGGAAATCATCGATGCTCCCATTTCACTCTGCGGCAGAGACTTGTATTTTCTCCTTGGTTCTACTTGTTCTTACACGTTGTCCTCATTTTAATTTCCATATTATTCATTCAATAAACAAATATGAGCAATGCTTATGTGCACATGGAGTTTCTTGCCATAGAGGCAGGATTTATTTCATCCCAGAATACCTTAAAGGACAGTTAATGCCTTATGGGCTTTTAAAACCCTTACAGAATTTATATTTAATTTCTCCCAGTGATTTGGGAGGCCAATGCAGTAGTATTGCTTGAGGTCAGAAGTTTGAGGTCAGCTTGGGCAACATGGTAAGGTTCCATTTCTAAAAAAAATTTGAAAAAATTAGCCAGATAAGATGGCATGAGCCCATGGTCCTAACTACTCAGAATGCTGAAGTAGGAGGATAACTTGAGCCCAGGAGTTCAAGGTTACAATGAGCTATGAAAGCACCAATATACTCCAGTCTGAGTTAGAGTGAGCCCATCTCTAAGAAGAAAAAAAATAATTATTATTTTGTTTAAAAGGGAAGCCATTTGAATCTCATCGAATCTCTGGATTATTAAATAATTCATATATCTTCTCTATTTTTTAAAAACATTTTCCTATTACTATATTTCAAAATCCCTTAGTTTCTGGGGCATTACTTTGCTCTGCTCAGGAAACTCAAAGGTATTCAGAGCTTAGACTGACCAGAATATGGGATAATTCTTTCTATAGAACCTGGCCTCCAGGTGTTTCTAATTGTAAAAAAAATTGCATAATAGTAAATAAATGGTGTTTTTTATTGTTAAATTGTTTTGTTTTTTTCTGAGACACTTACCACCATATTCTAGGGATCCCCATCCTGTTACATAAGCAATGGAACCAGGTGGAATATTCTGTGTAGCCTCTGGTAGACACACTCTACGGATATTTCTGGTAAAGGTGACACTGTTGCCAAGTAGCACAAGTGCAATATCATTTTCATGAGTTGCAGGTATATAATTGTTGTGGATTATAATACTTCTCACTCTTTTACTCAGTGTAGGAAATGTTGTGGAAATACCAAAGGTGACAGTCCATTGACGAGGATCAGAGGTGCTAAAGAATATAAAAACATGCCATTTACATAGAAAATCTGGGAGCATTTCAGATATTTAGATTCATGTGCCATCCCATACTACCACCTAGGAACTACTGGGCCCATGTCATGTCTCTTTGCTGTGTATTCCTGCATTGCAAGCTTTTAAATGGGTTTTAACTTATCACTGGAAGAATGAATGGTCACTTGTCTAAAGAAACAGAAAGATTTTAGAAAATGTATATTGGGGTGATGAACATCTTCCTGTTTTTCTGTTTCTGTGAAGATATTATGATACTTTGGTGATAAGTAACATAACACAAATCTCTTGGTTTCTTCCTTTTCTATACTCTCCAATTAAGAAATCTGAAATAATGAATATTTTAGCTTTAACTTATTTTTTTCAATCCTTATTTTTTTCCTTTATACAAAAACTCCATTTAAAAATAGGGCCATTCTTTTCTTATTAATGGATGACTACTTTTTCTGGATTAAGTGTGATAATTGTTGAAGATTGGGAGTCCTTAAAAGTTCATGAAAAATATGTATTATGAACAAACAATGAAAGGATTTCAAAGTTTTTTTGCACTAAAATTGAACTCATACTAATTTTTTATAACATGTCTGAACAGAATCTAGCTTAAACACCAAGAAGGATAAAGCATCAGTTTGAAAAGAGTCCTTATCAGAGCAAAATGAATTCTGCTAAAATTGAAGGAAAACAAACATCAAATTTATGATGAAACATTGGTGGAAGAATGGTGAAATCATTGATGCTTTATAAAAAGTTTATGGGACATTGTCTCCTCAAATAAACAGCTTATAAATGTATAACTTGTTTTTTAAAGGAAAGAGATGATATTGAAGATGAAGCCTGCAGTGGCAGATCATCCACATCAATTTGCAAGAAGATCAGGCTTAATGGCTCAGCCTGTAATCCAAGCACTTTGGGAGGCCGAGGTGAGAGAATTGCCTGAGTCTGGGGTTTGAGACCAGCCTGGGCAACTTGGTGAGACCTCTTCTCTATAATAAATCACAAAAACTAGCTGAGCATGGTGGCGTATGTCTGTAGTTCCAGTTATTTGGAAGGCTGAGGTGGAAGGATCACCTGAACTCAGCAGGTCGAGGCTGCAGTGGCCGGGAGTGTGCCACTGCACTCCAGCCTGGACAATAAGAGTGAGACCCCAACTCAAAAAAAAAAAAAAAAAATTTGTAAGGAATAAATTTATCTTGTTCCAGCCCTAATTGAAGAGTACCAGTGATTAATGACAGAAACAATAGCCAACACCACAGATATATCAGCTGGTTCAGTGTACACAATTCTCACTCAAATTTTAAGTTGAGCAAACTTTCCTCTCAATGTATGCCAAAACTTTTGCTCCCAGGTCAACTGCAAACAAGAGCAGAGCTTTCAATGGAAATATTAAACAAGTGGGATTAAGATCCTGAAGGATTTCTTTGAAGATTTGTAAATGGAGATAAGATATGGCTTTACCAGTATAATCCTGAAGACAAAGCACAATCAAAGCAATGGCTGAGAGTTGGAAGTGGTCCAGTCAAAGCAAAAGCAGATTGGACAAGGGCAAAGGTAATGGAAAAACTTGGGTGGAAGAATGGTGATATCACTGATGCTTTATAAAAAGTTTCTGGGGCCAATGACCCAAAGAAATCAGCAGTTTACAGATGGATAATTTGTTTTAAAAAGGAAAGTACTTTTTGTGATGCTCAAGGTATTTTGCTTATTGACTTTCTGGAGAGTCAATGAACAATGACATCTTATTATTATGAAAGTGTTTTGAAAAACTTAGCCAAAGCTTTAGCAGAAAAATGTCCAGTAAATTGTCACCAGAGAGTCCTTCTCCACAAAATCACACTCTTGATCATTCCTCTCTTCAAACAAGGGCAGTTGTGCAAGGGTGTCAGTGGGCAATCATTAGGCATCCACTTTACAGTCCTGATATAGCTCCTCCTGCCTACTTTTTGTTTCCTAATCTTAAAAACCTTTTAAAGAATACCTATTTTTCTTTACACGTTAATAATGTGAAAAAAACTACATTGATATAGTTAAATTTTGGGGACTCAGTTCTTTAGAATGAATGACTGGTATCATTGCTTACAAAGGTGTATTGAACTTGATGGAGTGTATGTTGAGAAATAAAGTTCACATTTTTTATTATTTTAATTTTTGTTACACTTTTTCATGAACTTATTGAAGTCCCCTCGTGTGTGTGTATGCAAGTGTATGTGTGTGTGTGTGTGTGTGTGTGTGTGTGTGTGTATGTGTGTATAGGGTTGGGGGGAAGAGAGAGAGAGAGAGAGAGAATGGGCACTAACATTAAAAACAAGTCGGACATATCTTTGCCACCTAAGAATTGAAAACTTTTTGACTAAACAACCAAAATACAAGTCATCTGGTAAAAATGAATGAATGTCATTAAATCAAAATTAAGCATACTATAGATGTATTTACCAGATGGGAAAGAAACCATGGGAAAATACTGACAATATTTAATATCTAACATTTTTATAGAATATATTTTAAAAGTCTGTAACCAATAATAAATGAATAAGAACGCAATTATAAAATGGACAAAGAATATTCATGGCAATTTATAGAAAGCGAAACCCTAGACATGTGAAATGGATACTCAAATTATACGAAATCACCAGTAATCTGAAAAACGGAAATTACAAAAATGAGCATCTAATATGTATTAGAAAGAAAGACAAAAATTAAACAAGAAAATAATACCAAATATTGGTGTGGAGAAAAAAAAAATGGAACTCTTTTGCATTACTGGTAAAGATGTAAGCTTCTGGTAAGCATTCTGATATATTTATCAGAGTGCATATGCACTTCTGGGTACATATCTCAAATACATTCCTGAAGGTTTTTAGAAAGACAGAAATGGAGATTTGTGTGTATGTGTGCTTTTTTGTGGCAGTGGGAAGTTAGAACAACCTGGCTGGTTGAAGGAAGTATGATGGATGCATACTGTGGAATGCCATGTGGCAGTAGACCAGATGAGAATTCCTGGGATTGAGTGAAAATAATAAGAAACAGTATGAGACTTATACACGATGCTACTTACAGTAATTAAAGACATCATACAAAGACAGCCCTACAGGTGTTGCAGGTACACGTACACTGAAAGGCATCTTTATTTTTATTTTTACATATTTTAAATATATTAGTAAGAGGCCTATGGGGGAGGGCAGTGGAAGTAAAATTTGGGAATGATAGGAGAAAAAATATAAAATGAGAGAAAGGCCCTGTACATACTGATGAAAGTAAACATCTCTGAACCGGAGGGCTGATGAACTTAACATTGCTTTTAAGTGTTGAATAAAAACAAAATGTAACCAAATAATACTAATGTAAGAGTTTTGTGGAGTTCCACTAGTGGAGTTAATACAGGAAATAAACACTGTATATCTAGAAAATACTTTTATAAGGTTCAATAGCTTGTGTGAGAGTGAACACTAAAGTTTTTGAAGAAAACAATTTTTAAAAAAGCAAATCGGTGATTTTTACACATTCAACTTTTGTTAGAGATCATTATAGTAAGGATTCTCAAAGGACCCCTTCTTTCTCTCTTTTCCTCTCTCTCTTCCCTCCCTCTCTCCTTACCTCCCTTCTTTCTTTTCTTCCAGTAAGTGAATAAGAGAACGGTTTTTGAACCAGACTATATTTACATCTTACCTATGTTACATATTAGCAGTTTATTTATGGCAAGTTAATTAATATTTCTGGTTTTCTATTTATATGCAGGATGTGATTGATGATGCCCTCTTACACAGCTATTAAGTATTAATGAAACAAGTGCATTATGTCAAGTACAATGCTTGGCACGAAGTAAGCACTCAATGAAGGTAGCAATCATTTTCATTAATTATAAGACTTTGCTAAGTGTCCACTTTGTATAAGAAGTAGTATGAGTCTCTGGGATTAAACATATACATCGTCATGGTCTCTTTCTTGAGGTGCTCCATGTCCCAATGGAGGAGCCTGACAGAGATATGCAAACTATCATAACTCATGAAGGCAAATGATTAAACAAATGTCTGTAGAACACAATGGACAAGAAAATATCAGGGAAACCTTCATAGAAGAGGTGACAATTCAGTAATCATTTCTAATAGGACTTCGCAACTTCTAGGTACCTAGATGTAAAGCTGGTCATGCCCCCAAACAAATCCTTATTGGTGGTCCTCGGTGACAGTCAGGTCTTTAAGGAGAGTGCCAATGTGTGGTTCACAGAGTTTGTCAGCTCCAGTGGATCAATCGTGGTAGTGAATAGAAGAATTTGGGGAGGTAAAATTCAAAGATGTTCTGTGGATTCCTTTGGTAGCCATTGGTGATATTTGTAATTGTGATTTTCATTACAGTGACATTTATTTCTTAGCTTTTGGTGGCTGGGCCTGAATAGGGCTTAGAATCCAATAGGTTTCTATTGCATAGTTGGTTAAGCTAAAAGTGCCTGCTAAGTCCAGGCATTTGCATTTCTGGTTTTCACACACAAGGCATAATTGAAATCAGTGAATGCCATTTCTACTTTTTGGTATTTCAAGTGGCAATGGATTTTGAAATGTTTTTGTGAGTTTCGTTTCTTGTGTTATGTGGAATGTAGCAATAAATCTGCCAATCTAAATCAGACTCGGTAATTCTGCAAGTATCTTTTACAATTTCAAATTTGTTTACTGTGTATTAAAATATTAACTTATAAGAAGAGCCATAAGAAAAACTCAGAATAAATTGGGAGTTTCTTAAAACTTTAGTTCAGAAAGTATACCCTACCTGGTTAACCTTTATTCCTTCTTAATTTAATAAACAAATTTTGTGACGGTCACTGTTTTATAAGGTAGTGCTCTCAGTTCTAAAAAGGACTTCTTGAAACTGTAAAGATTTCACAGAATTCAAACAGTAAGAAATGGAGATTTTGAAATGACATTAACATTTCAGGGAGAAGAAGCAGATTGAGCAAATGCTCGTAGGTATAGAAATATAGACAGAGTTCTGGGGAAGAGAATAAATGTTGTTTTTCTGAAGTTCAAGGTACATACTTTGAGAAATAAGTCTGGATTGACCTGGCTATGGAAGGCGTTGCGTGTGTGATAGGAGGTTGAATTTAGACAGTGATAGATTATTTGGAAAGTCTGTGAAGGGAATAGGTAAGGTTAGGGCACACCTGAGATCACCATGTTTTTGAGTTTAGTTCCCATCAACTGTTGTGGTCTAAGAAGTCCCAGTAACAAGGCAAATATAAAACAAGTTTTAGCTATGCCAACATCTAAAATCCTTCTATTATGAGCAGTGTGGCCTTTACCTTATACCAAAAGGGTAAGTTTATGCAACCTACTCTCGACTGGCAGGTTATTACCCTAGTGTTAGCAACAGTCTTTAGTCACCTTGATTAAAAATTCTTGTAAATTGTTTAAATTAACTTAATCTATGCTACTCACTATAATCGATCATTGTTTTTGTGCATTCTAACTGTAACATTAGAATATAATGAGGGCAGAAGCAGTGTATTGTTATATTAGTAGCTTCTACAATATATTACTCTGCTCATACCAGTTACTTAGTTTTTATGAATGAATAAATCAATGGCATGGGGCAGTCTCTAGGTCAACTATTAGCCTGTCAATCCACTTTTATGATATGATGTATAAATCCTCCACAACAGTTTATTTTGCTAACTTTTAACATATGCTTACATTAGTATAGTCAATCCTACCAATAACACTAAGGCATCATGTCCCTAATTTGAAAAAAAAAACGAGACTTATGGAGGTTTAGTAAATTTCCTAGACTATCATAGCTAATATTTAATTGAAATATTCTGACATAAATCTTTGTTCTTTACTACGAAGCTATACTATTAACTGAAACAGAGAAATCACAGCAAATTAGCAAGCTAAAGAAGAAAAAACAGTTTTGCTCTTATAAATAGGAAGAAAAGACTTATTAATTCTTTTGCATTGAATTATTTCTGGCTCAATTCAATCCTGGGGGTAGAGCGTAGAGTCTTCATGTACCTGTCTATCCTAATTGTTCCCAGATGGGTAGGTAGCAGCAGCCTCACCTTCTGAAGCAGTGCGCTGCTGTTAGGATCCATACGTCACTGATCAGGACGCCTCCACAGTGGTGGGCATTGTTGGTCTGTAGACTGACCTGCCATGGCCAGCCTCCCTCCTCAGCCTGAGCGCCTCCAATGATTCTCTCCTCAGACAATGTTATTAAGTCTGAACGGGCCCCACATTCTAGTGAGAAAAAAGCACTCACTTACTGAGAAGATCATGATTCATTTACGTTTGAGAAAGGTTGCAGAACTTCTCCATGTGTTATAACTTTTGTCTCCTATACATTCTTCCCCAGGACATGCTAGACTTTCCAAAAAGCTTGAATGATATATTTTGAGACTACATGTGTGCCTGCTATTGCCTGTAGACTGCATTTTAGGGAACATTTCTGAACTTAATGGGCATATGGGCTTCAGATTCTGGAGCAGCTTCCGAGTTCTCGGAATTTCTCATCAGTGGGGTTTAAGACTGGTCTATGCCAGCTCAGATCACAGACGCCTGGGAATTGTCCTTTTTCTTGATTCCCCTGCTGCTCACTGTATGGTCTCCCCTGGGAGATTGTTAGAAATGCTGACTCTCAGACTCACTCCAGAGGACACATGGGAAGCTACGTCTGGATGAGAACCTCACATCCATATTGAAGTCGGAGGAAAGCTGGTCTTATCTGAAGACTTCTTAGTGGATCGCAGTTCATCATGGAGGTTCTAATCTGCCTCCAGAAACTGCTTCTCTATTAACAAATGTGCCCTTTAAAAAAAAGAGTATCTGTAGGCCCACAGAATAGTCTTGTGGGTGAAGGAGAGTTTCTAGTATCTAGATGAGGTTTATTGAAATGTTATCCAAGAGCCCATGAGCATTCCACTGGCCAGAGCTGAAATGGGCTAGAATAGGATGGTCAGTCAATTCCTTTAAGCCTCCATTTCCATGATATGTTTTTCTTGTTTATTTTACTAAGAAATTAGAGGTAAATTTCTATTACTGAACTGGCTCTCGAGTTGTGCCCTGTTTCAACAGGACAACCACCCAAAGGCTTTGTTTTTCACTAGTAAATTTCCCAGAAAAAAGAGAATCAGACTTCCATTAAGAATATACATGGAAGTAGATTCTTTTGCTGTATTCCCCCAACAAATTCCCTAGTAAATTACTGAAGCACTGAGCCTGGGCAACATACTGTGAACCTGTCTCTACAAAAAATAAGAAAAATTAGAGGAGTACAGTGATATGCACCTGTAGTTCCAGCTACTCAGGAGGCTGAGGCGGAAGGATTGCCTGAGTCCAGGAGGTCAAGGCTGTAGTGAGCTGTGATCATGCCCCTGCCCTCCAGCTTGAGTGACAGAGTGAGACAGTGACTAAAAAAAAAAAATTACTTAAGCACACTTTCTCTAGAAGAAAGTATGAAATAAATATATAATGAAGCTGAAAAGCACCCATAGGGTGAGCATTACCATGTAGAACTGCTTAAGCTTAGACAGATCAGTTTTCTAGGTACATTGAACTAGTTTCTAATAACTTTTTTTTTGGTCAGAGAAATAAACGCAGTTGTCTAGGGATTGTACTTCTGCTATCTAACCTGAGCATATATAGGGCAATTTTGGAGAGTAGTGACTTTTCCTTCAGGTTATAGAGAAGGCTTTTTGTAATTCTTTTTATTATACCTTATGGTTAATTTGAATCCACAATAAAGCAAGCTATTCTGGTGGTTAGGAGAAGCCACATAAAAGGTGTCATCAAACATAATTTGCAAGTCTATAGAAATGCCACCATAGAACCAGGGCAATACAAGTTTCCCAAAGCTGCCGAGAACATTTTTACGAGTTTGAGCTTAAGTACAGAGTGGAAAGTACTGCAGTGTTCTTCCTTTTCTAAAAGGACAGGGAAAACCTCTTACTCCATGGGCCAGTGAAATCAGCCGCGTCTTTTTTTAACAACTCATCTGAGTGAACTAAGAATAAAGGCACCAACTTCATAGTCACTGCCTTGGCAAAGAACACAAAAGACTTTCACTTTGACTTTGTATATTTTGGCAAAATATATTTACAAAATAATTTGAAAACTTACCATTAGTGAACATATTTACTGTATCCTGGTCAGTGATTGCTAACATTAAAAAAAAAAAAAAAAGAGTGAGATTAAGATAAACACAATAAGGACTATACAACATTTTACCCAATTTCTTGAAGAAACCAGAATCAGAATCACTTGGAGAGTTTGCTAAAATACAAATCCCAGACCTGCTGAAACAATCCCTAAGTCACAGGATCCAGAAATTTCTGTGTTTACAACCATTCTCCAATTTGTTATTATGCACACAAGTTTGTACTTTAATTTCTCATCAAGTCATAGATATTCCTGCTAAGTTACTCAGTTTAGTTGGGAAAACAGAAACATAAGGAAGCCATTGAGACACAGTGTGATAAATGCTATGAGAAGTTAAATTTCATGTATCCAAATATATACCTATATATACCTTTAAGTATATATCTATATACCTCTACATACTCCAAGTATATAGAGATAGAGTAATAAGCATACCTATATTACACATAGAGAAGTATATAGGTATGTATATGTATGTTACTCTACTGATGTTACTCTTAAGTGCTGCAGATTTAACCAAGAGCAAAATACAGAGGCTTTGTCCTCACTAATAGGGTCCTCATAAGGGCTCTTCTTATATTATTTGCAAATAAAAATTAATCAAGAAATCATTCAAATAAATTTAAGTGCAAAGTAGAGAGAAGAAAGTAGAGAGTAATTAATGCTACTTCAAGAATCATAGAAGTTATCGTGGAGGAAATAACGTTTGAGCTGGAGGAAATGATATTTGCCTGTATTTTGAAGATCTAACAGGAATGTTATTCAGAAAGACAAGAGAAGAAAAGACATTCCACGTGAGAAGGTGTAGTGGGCACAAATGCGTGGAGGTGTAAGATGTTTGTGGAGCTATATAGTCAGGATAGCTAGTGTATAAGTTGCATGTAGGGACATCGTCGGGAGCCTGGAAAGGAAAACATGTTGGTTCCAGATAGTGAAGGTCTGCCTATTTCAGTTTAAGGTTTGTGTACAAGACAATTTCCTCTGCATGTCCAATAGCCATCTCAAATGCATTGTGACCCAAATTTATCCAAAATTTGCTACTAATGTTAAATTTCTTCCTTTACTAAATGACACCACTTCTACTGGAAGCTAGAAATCTGTCATTGTCTCACATTCCTCCTTCCTCATCATTCCCATATCTTATTGGCTTCCTGATTCTATATTTTCTACCCCCTGACTATCTTTTGAATTAGGCCTATCCTCCCTATTCCTTTTGCTTATTTTAGTTCATGCTTTCATCATTTGATTCCAGTAATATTACAATAACCTTTAAACCGAATTTTCTGCCACCACTTTTGCACTTTTTCAACTTATCCATCTCTATTTTACCAGACTGATTTTTCTAAAAATGTATATTAGATCATATGATTTCCCACTTGAAATTTTTTAAATTGAATTTTCTTATTTCCTATAAGATAAATTCAAACTTCTCAAGACAAGTTTCCATGCTCTGTAAAATCAATTTAGGCAAAGTCGTTTCCCATTAGAGGTTTCACAACATCTGCTTTGCCAACTTCAGTGGAGCCAAATTATCCTTTTGGAGACAGAAAACTTGAAAAAGCTGGACACTCTGCATTTTTTGAACAAGAGTGACTTAAAGTTTGAATCCTGACCTTCCTACATGTTGATTGTATGAGCTTGGTCAATCGATCTTTTCTAAGGGAGCACAATAAGAGTATCTATGAGACATGGTTATTATAAAAATTAATGAAGAAAAAATGTGTATGAAGTACTAAAACTATACCTAAAAAACAGTGCTCCTCTTTCCTTAGCATATCAATAACTAGACAGCTATATTTAACTTTTAGTTGGGAATAAAAGTTGTAATAAATGTTACAAAGGAAAAAATAAAAGAGTTGGTGAAGTGGATCATTAAGTAGTTCTCTGACCCTGAGCATCTATTTACCTTTTCCACAGCATATTTACAATTGAACACCTGACTATAACATCCTTCCTAAAGAGTGTTGGAGGGATAATTAATAATAATCTTTAGCCAATAAAATTCACTATATAAATGCCAAATGATTCTTTAAATCTTAGGATGTTTTATATTATAGAGTTATATGTTATATTTAGCTTTTTACTGTATTGTTTTTATAAAGCTTAATTCTAAAAGTCAGTATCTCACTTAATTAAAATGTGAATGAGACTTGGTAAGCTTGAGGGATATATTAAAATAATATGGCTTATGAAAAATGGTACTTGCAAGTTATTTCAGTTGAAGGGTTTATTTCCAAGTTTCCAGAGTTATTCCGCATTTGTCGTAAAACAGACTCAATTCTGCTTTTCATTGATCCTCCATTGTTATTTCTAGTGAATCGAAATTTCATGACAACATCTGCTATCACACCACCACCATATTGCCTGTAAATCATAAAGATATTTTTAAAAATGGATAATTATATTTTCCTATTGCTTTTTAATACACTCTTCCTCATGAAATCTTTTAAAAATAATATATTTAAGGCATTCAACTTTAGAATAGATTCATGTACCAGTGATTGCATGCATGTTATATCACAAATACTGTTCCGCAAACTTGATTTCAATGCACAGTTCACTGTAGCTACCACAGTAAAACCACTTTGAAGTTAGAATACATGATTTTTACTGTGTGATTTTGGGTAAGTTATTTAAGTTTCCTGGTCTCTCTGTATCTAAGTCTCCTCATCTGTAAAATGGGTTGTTATAAAGACTGTATGAAAAAATATACATAAAACTTAAAGGAAGTTTTATAGTAAAACAGTGCCATAAGTATTATTATGTCACCAATCTTAAATTTTAAAAACTCATCTTTTTATACAAACTTACAAAGTGATGAGGTTCCAAATATGTGTGCATTAGAGGCTCAATTTACTGATATCTAGACCCATTCATCTGGTCACAATAGCAAACTTTAACTTTCATAGTTATATGTTACGATTCCCTCTCTCATTTCAATTAACCATAGATGTTCCTCAAAATAAAACTTAGACTTGATGAAATATTCTAAATATCTAAAACTTAGGTAAATTCCACTTTTTTTCTATGAAACTTGTCACATAAACCACTTCATCCACTTCATATTGGCTATCTTCTTTTCTGAAAAGTGCATTAAATGAATTTGGTTTTGAAGCTTTCATATTCACTCTTGGGCTTCTCCTTTCATCTCAATTGCCAGTTCTGACTTCATATTTCTTCCAGATACTAACATAATATTTATTTAACAAGTACCAAATAAGCACTTTCTTGTGCTGGACACTATTCTAAGCTTCAGAAATTAACTGTGATCAAGATTTACAGTCGCCATTCTCATGGATATTGCCATCTAGACGGAGAAGCAGACACTGAACAAATAATTACCACTTTCATGTCTATCAGCACGGAAACCTAAAAAATGAAAAAAAAAACCTTCCATATAAAAAATCAGAAATGCTAGATAAAATATAAAAATTCTATTTCAAATGCAAAGTTGAGCTCACATGAAAGTAAAGAAATTCCAAAAATAAAGAAGAATGTAAATACTATGTGGTAAGACTGGAATATTCAACAAGTTTGTGTTTAACATTTGCATAGAGACTGGAGATGGGACCTTGGGTTAAGTGCAAAATAGGGTGTTGGACTTGAGATTTCAGAATAAGCCCAGGAGTCTCAAAGAACTAAATCCCTCAGAGAAAGCATGGATCAGGATGAAAAAAAAAAAAAATCTGTTCATTATCTCATAAAATATAGAAATTAACTTGAGCAACATAACGAGACCTTATCTCTACAAAAAAAATCAAAAAATTATCTGGGAGTGGTGGCATGCTCCTGTAGTCCCCGCTACTTGAGAGGCTGAGTGTTGGGAGCCGGCCACGGAGGCCCACTGAGCGTTAGGGATCAGGAAGGGCCGTAGACCCCGAGACCACTAGGATGTGTTCGGGAGCCATTGACCCATTCCCTCCCTCCTTTTTCATTTGGCACAAACTACCAAGAAAAGCTCCGGCTGGCTCTAACAGAAAACTCTGAGACCGGAACATACACAGCTAACCTAGGAGTCTATTGTTCCCATTCCCCATGGCTTATGGTTTTTTGCTTTATCACAATTTAAGTTTGACTTTGAGTCACATTGAGGAGCCTTAGTACAGGTCACAGGTTCTCTTGATGTGACCTTTAGAAATTTGTAGATATAGGTTTTAGAAAATAGTTTATATAGATTAAGAAAATTTAAGTAACCATTTTATTATAGAAGTATGGTTAGTTCAGTTTTATTTAGGGGGCCTAGTGAAGTTTGAATTAGGTCAGCTGGTACTAGGAGAGTGTAACCATAGCAGCAATTGTTTTAATAAAAACTAGTTTGAATTAGTACATAATAGTGGAGTTAATAATTCACTATGGTGGTTTGGGATTTAGACATTGAGTGATGTTAATTCAAGATGATGTAGTTGTAATACAATTAAGACATATAAGAAACTGGCTTGGGGAACATTAAGTTAGCATAAGATACAAAAAGACAATTTGTGGTTGTTCTTCCTCATGTTCTTCCTTACATATGAAAGAACATTTGCTTGAGAGTGGGGGGTGTCCTTTGTGCACCTGGACCTGTTCATGTGAAAGCCACATGCTACCTTTGTTTCCTGTGATGATGACTTTGCAGAGTTTGGGGATAAAAGTCCTGAGATTACACTCATTAAACGGCTTCTGATCACTTAAGCAGGAGTCCAGTCTCTTTCTTTCTCCCCTCTTCTCTTTCTTTTTATCTTTCCAGAATAATCGCCGACGTTGCCCCACCTTCCAAGAGACCCCCTAAATCTCTCTGCGGGGGCTGGCCCCCTGCAGCTGAGGTAGATTGCTTGAGTCCAGGAAGTTAAGGCTGTGGTAAACCATGATTATGCCACTGCACTCAAGCCTGGATGGCAGAATGAGACTTCGATTAAAAAAAAAGTTTATCTGTCTTTATTATCCAGTTTTAGATAGAAAAAAGAAGTTTCACTTAGAATTCATAATGATGTTTGAATCTGCATTGATACTGCCTATATAGTCCCAGAATCTTTAAGTTAAGAAATTGATAACAACAGCAAAAATTCATGTGTTCCTGATTCTGACAGAGGCAAATGCTCTAAAGATATGGGTGTTAAATCCAGGTTGCGTACACTCCCATTTTGAAATAGGATTAAAGAAATGTATAAAATTCCAGT